AATTTTAAATATTGATTTTAGCTATATATTTTCTAAATAAAATATTTAATTTTAGATTTGTTTTATTAATTTTGTTACAAAAATTTTTTAAAATTATTAAAAAACTATAGTATAATAAAAGTATGAAGTTTTTGTATTAAAATTTTTACTATAAAATTTTTTCTTTAAACTTTCTTAAATATATTGTAACAATTAAAAATCGATTATTGCTATAGCCTAACTGAATTAAATGATCGATTATATATTTGTTTGTAAATGAATATATAGCATTTAGTAGATTTAGAATATTTAGAATATTTGGGATATTTGGTCATCTAGCATAATTAGCATATATAGTATATTTAGCATATATAGCATATTTAGTATATTTAGCATATAGGCAAATAGTATATAAAGATAGCATTTATTATAATGTAAAGGGGGAATTAAGATATCTCATGTTATTGATAGATAGTTTATTAGCCAAATCTGCACCTCTTTTGAGGGTAGTATTTTTAGAGTTATTACATTTAGAAAATTACTATGAGATTGTATACTATTAATCAAATATCAAGTAAGGTTGAATCACCTTGACCAACGTACTGAGTCTAAAGGATATGAAGATAACAAATAGACTATGAAAAAGTAAACATATAACATATTAAGGATAAAGAAATAAGAAAAAAGACTAACAGCTATAAGTCTATTGAAAGTAAAGACTAATGACTATAAGACTTTTGAAACTAAAGTACTAACAACTATAAGACTACTGAAAGAAGAGACTAATAGCTACAACTATTGAAAAAAAAGAAAAAAACAAAGTAAAAGTCAAGACAAAAGGAAAAGTCAAAAGAGAGATGAAAACAAAGTACAAAGTAAAGATGGAAAGGATGTTGAGACAGATTATTACCAGAAGCTCAATACTTACCAAAAATCTGATGGAATAAAATACATTAATGAAATAAATAATCATAAATCTTACGATGAAAAGGGTATTGGAATTGAGGTAAATGAGTATAAAGCATTCATCTACTATAAACAACTAGCAGATATAGATAATAGTAATAAAACACACAATTCTGAATATTGTAACTAAAATGAAATCAGATTTGAAATAGAAAAATATAAGGCACTTATGTATTACCAAAAGTCTATGACTATAAGTAACAACAAAAAAGCTACTAGTGATGATAAAGCTGACAAAAATGATACAGATAGTAGTGTCAAAATGAATGCTGACAAAGTTGAGGATGATAAGACGATTGATAAAAATAATGAAGTCATAGACATAATCAACAGATATCTGGAGTCTCCTAAAAATTTCCTACTCAAATCAAGAAAAGAACTAGGAACCAATGATGAAAAAGATGAATATTATAAGGAATTTACTGATTATCAAAAAATAACTAAAATAGGTGATTCTAAAGGAACATTCTATGCTAGATATTATTATCAAAACAGATTGGAATTGTAATGAACAGATATAAAGCATTCGAGTATTATCAAGAACTCATAGACTTGAATCATACTTGTAACTTTCAGATGAGAAAAGTAGATGAATTAAAAGAATAATCAAAAACGTGCATAAAGCAAACAAAAACAACAAAGTTCTGCTATGATGCCAAAAAACAATAGAAATAAATTAGAAGTTTAATCGATAGAGTTAAAAAAAAGACCATGAGACAACTATGTCTTATCAAAAATATAATGATCCTAATAAAACAAAGCAAGCTGAAGAAATCTATAAAATTGGGTATTATGATAAAAAAGAATTTGAAGCTGGAATAAATAAATAAAAGATATTTAGTTCTTACCAAATATTTGCTGATTTAAATTATAATCCTTACTAGAATGAAATCAAAGTTAAAAATAATAAATAAAAGATATTTATCTATTGTCAAAAAGCTGCTGATTTGGATAACACTAATAGATTATACAATGCCAAATATGGTTATCAATATGGTATTGGAGTCAAAAAAGATGCACATATAGTATTAATCATTATCAAAATAATAAATGGCAAGATTTTGAGAAAATGATATACTTTGATAAAACATTCGATCCCAGAGAAAAATCAAATAAATTGGGTAGCTAGAGAAAATGAAGTTGTCCAACTAATGTGACTATAACAATGAAAATAAAAGCTAAAAACCTGTCAAAATTTGTAAAATGAATTATCAAGAAAGAGAAAATTGTTATTCTGAAAAATGAAACCAGTAATGAATGGACTACTAAAGCATTCAAATGATATTTAAACTCTGCAGAAGGTAGCAGTTTGGATAGATAATATAAACTTGGATGTTGCTACAAGAAAGAAATTGAAGCTAAAAAAATCAATATAAGATATTCATATACCAACAATTAACTAAAAATGATAAATACAAAGCTTTTATACATTATTAAAAATCTGCAAGTATAGAAAATGCTAGCTGAACATTTGATGATGGATATTGCCATCAAAACAGGATTAAAATTGAAATAAATGGACACAACGCATTCAGTAATTACCAAGAATCTGCTAACTTGAATTATGTTCGTAAATTCTGGATGGTAAGGGTAGATGAACTTAAAAGAATAATCAAGAATAATATAAGCAAAATGGAAAAGAACCTATACCTAAAGGATCCAGATGAGTTACAACAATCTGTTAATATGAATCATAATATTGATCATGATTACTATAATAGAATCAGGATTGAATATGATAAAATCAAAGCATTCTTAAATAAGTTAGCATGTAGAATTAGTTCTTAAATATTTGATCCCAGAGGACTGAGATTGTTCGTGGAATGAACAAATTTGGTGGAGGAAAATGTAATGTTTAAAAATCAATTGTTGCTATAGCCTAATCAAATTAAGCAATCGATCACATATTTGTTTGTAAATAAATATGTGGCATTTAGTAGATTTAGGATATTTAGAATATTTGGGATATTTGAGATATTTGGGATATTCAGAACATCTAGTATATTTAGTATATATAGTATATTTAGCATATATGGCGTATTTAGTATATTTAGCATATAGACAAATAGTATATAAAGATAGCATTTATTCTAATGTAAAGGGGAGATTAGAATATCTTACATTATTAATAGACAGTTTATTAGCCAAATCCATGCCTCTTTTGAGGGTGATATTTTTAGAGTTATCATAATATAAATTTTTGCTTCTAAGCCAAGTCATAATTTTTATAAATAAATTATTAAAAGTGTAATAATGAAAGTTATCATCCTTTGATTAAACTACAATATTGTATTAGAAACTATATTTTTAAAACTAATATTTAAAGAGTTTGCCAAGAAATTGTAAAATAATTTTTTAGTTAAAAAATTTCTTAAAATTATCTATTTTTAGCTTATAAGCAATCTTAAAATTTTGTCTTATAAAATAAATACAAATACTACAAAAATATAATCTTTATTTTTAAATATTATTATATTTAATTTTATTTAAATATTTTAAATAATTAAAAAAGCAGATTGAGACATATTTATAGTAATTATGTAGCCAAATTTGCCTGCAAATCTCTACTAATTAAGAGATATAATTGGCTTTAATTTAATATACTAATTTAGACTTAGCAGGTTCAGGTTTATATATTAAATTTAAAGTATATTTATTTTTAAAAATTTATAAATTTATACCTGTGTATGAAATACAAATATAATTTATAAAAAATTTTAATACAAATTTTAAAGAAAAAAATCAAATTGAATTAAAGCTAAGATAAGTTAGATTAGAAGTTAAGGTTAGGATAGTTTATAGTAAAATTTTATATAGATTTTTTTTTGTTAGAATTTGAAAAGTAGTTTTATAAACAAAATTTTTAAGTTATTAATATACCTATGTTTTATACATGGGTGTATAAATAGAAATTGTCTTTATTTTTTTTTAAAAAAATAAAATATATAAACTTAATTAAATATAATTAAAACTAAGATTAAGAATAAAATTAAACCTAAAATTAGTTAGTATTAGAGTTAGACTAAGATTAAGAATAAAATTAAAATTAAGATTTGTTAGAGCTAAAATTAGGATTAAGGTTTGGGTTAGTATTGTTATTAGATAACAGGAGCAGCATAGAGATATTAGCTATAACAAGTGATTACTAAATGAGCAAAGTGAGCTTAGTTGGTATTATTAAGTATTAGCAAAACAATACAAGCTATATTGTCTTTAATAAAGTTGTTTTTAGAGAATATTTAGCTACACATTGCAAATAAATATAATTAAAAACTATTAAAGTTATTAAATAAAATAAAAATATTTATTTTATTAAATTTTTTATTTAATAATATTAAAGCCTAGTTTTATATACTGAGTTAAAAACTATAAAAAATAAATATTATATTAAGTTATTTATTTAATAATAATAAAAATCAAAGCAATACATTAAATTAGAAACTATTAATTATAATAAAAGTAATATAAAAAATCTTTTACTAAAATGCATTTATAGTGTTTTATACTTATATATATATTATTTTAAAAACTAGCTAATTAATCAGTACAAAATATTCTAAATAAAAACCAAAGAATGTGAAACCCTGATCAAGAGTAACTCAACAAAAGCATGGCCAAAAAAATGGTAAAAGATATAAGTCAACCTAAAAATTTATGCAAACGAAGCCCCGGTGCACTTTTTGCAAAATGAGAGGTCACACTGTTAGTATGTATCCTAAAAAGGACCTTCTGGATAAAAAAGCTACCACCTTATTCAGGCTTCTCAAAGATGAACAAGTCACAGCTGTACTGAAAATTATCAATACAATATTTGACTACAATATTAGTGATGAACAAATGCCTCAGATACTAGAATTCATGTTGGGTATACTGGAATTGGTTATGACAAATAATGAGAACAAATAAGAAAAGGCTGAAAATAAAACTTACCCAGACAATACCGAAGATTTTAAGTATGATAAAGATGCTAATATGGATACCAGCAGCAGCAATATAGTTGAACTAGATAATAATAACAAAAAGTTACTAAAGATAAAGATAGATTCAACAAGAATAATATGGATACTAAAAAAGGAATTGGAGCTGAAAAAGATGAATACAAGACATTTATCTATTATCAAATATCAGCAAAGATAGACTATGTGGATGCGATGATCAAATCTTATTATGAGGATAGCAAAGAAGAATTGTCTAAAATTATTACTAATAATAAAAATAACAGATCTTATGTACCTGAATACAAGAACCCAGTCCTAGATATAGCCAAAAGTTACCTTAAAAAAGAAACCTTGAACAAAAAAAATGAAAAAAGTGAATATAAGGCATTCACTTACCAAAAAAAAGCAGAGACAAATGATGCTGAACTTGGATATGAGAATGAAATGGTAAAAAACAATAATTATCTAAGCTAGTTGGAAGATTTCACATATTGCAATGAGGATAAAATCAACAACCTTGAACAATATCATCAAAATGAAAGCAAATTCAAAATAGATAAAAGTAAAAAACCTGATCATAACCAAGAAACCATTGTGATAAATTGGATCAATAGAATAAATACAGTTTGGCCTTATTACGAAAGAGAAAGTAAAGATGGAAAGGATGTTGAGACAGATTATTACCAGAAGCTCAATACTTACCAAAAATCTGATGGAATAAAATACATTAATGAAATAAATAATCATAAATCTTACGATGAAAAGGGTATTGGAATTGAGGTAAATGAGTATAAAGCATTCATCTACTATAAACAACTAGCAGATATAGATAATAGTAATAAAACACACAATTCTGAATATTGTAACTAAAATGAAATCAGATTTGAAATAGAAAAATATAAGGCACTTATGTATTACCAAAAGTCTATGACTATAAGTAACAACAAAAAAGCTACTAGTGATGATAAAGCTGACAAAAATGATACAGATAGTAGTGTCAAAATGAATGCTGACAAAGTTGAGGATGATAAGACGATTGATAAAAATAATGAAGTCATAGACATAATCAACAGATATCTGGAGTCTCCTAAAAATTTCCTACTCAAATCAAGAAAAGAACTAGGAACCAATGATGAAAAAGATGAATATTATAAGGAATTTACTGATTATCAAAAAATAACTAAAATAGGTGATTCTAAAGGAACATTCTATGCTAGATATTATTATCAAAACAGATTGGAATTGTAATGAACAGATATAAAGCATTCGAGTATTATCAAGAACTCATAGACTTGAATCATACTTGTAACTTTCAGATGAGAAAAGTAGATGAATTAAAAGAATAATCAAAAACGTGCATAAAGCAAACAAAAACAACAAAGTTCTGCTATGATGCCAAAAAACAATAGAAATAAATTAGAAGTTTAATCGATAGAGTTAAAAAAAAGACCATGAGACAACTATGTCTTATCAAAAATATAATGATCCTAATAAAACAAAGCAAGCTGAAGAAATCTATAAAATTGGGTATTATGATAAAAAAGAATTTGAAGCTGGAATAAATAAATAAAAGATATTTAGTTCTTACCAAATATTTGCTGATTTAAATTATAATCCTTACTAGAATGAAATCAAAGTTAAAAATAATAAATAAAAGATATTTATCTATTGTCAAAAAGCTGCTGATTTGGATAACACTAATAGATTATACAATGCCAAATATGGTTATCAATATGGTATTGGAGTCAAAAAAGATGCACATATAGTATTAATCATTATCAAAATAATAAATGGCAAGATTTTGAGAAAATGATATACTTTGATAAAACATTCGATCCCAGAGAAAAATCAAATAAATTGGGTAGCTAGAGAAAATGAAGTTGTCCAACTAATGTGACTATAACAATGAAAATAAAAGCTAAAAACCTGTCAAAATTTGTAAAATGAATTATCAAGAAAGAGAAAATTGTTATTCTGAAAAATGAAACCAGTAATGAATGGACTACTAAAGCATTCAAATGATATTTAAACTCTGCAGAAGGTAGCAGTTTGGATAGATAATATAAACTTGGATGTTGCTACAAGAAAGAAATTGAAGCTAAAAAAATCAATATAAGATATTCATATACCAACAATTAACTAAAAATGATAAATACAAAGCTTTTATACATTATTAAAAATCTGCAAGTATAGAAAATGCTAGCTGAACATTTGATGATGGATATTGCCATCAAAACAGGATTAAAATTGAAATAAATGGACACAACGCATTCAGTAATTACCAAGAATCTGCTAACTTGAATTATGTTCGTAAATTCTGGATGGTAAGGGTAGATGAACTTAAAAGAATAATCAAGAATAATATAAGCAAAATGGAAAAGAACCTATACCTAAAGGATCCAGATGAGTTACAACAATCTGTTAATATGAATCATAATATTGATCATGATTACTATAATAGAATCAGGATTGAATATGATAAAATCAAAGCATTCTTAAATAAGTTAGCATGTAGAATTAGTTCTTAAATATTTGATCCCAGAGGACTGAGATTGTTCGTGGAATGAACAAATTTGGTGGAGGAAAATGTAATGTTTAAAAATCAATTGTTGCTATAGCCTAATCAAATTAAGCAATCGATCACATATTTGTTTGTAAATAAATATGTGGCATTTAGTAGATTTAGGATATTTAGAATATTTGGGATATTTGAGATATTTGGGATATTCAGAACATCTAGTATATTTAGTATATATAGTATATTTAGCATATATGGCGTATTTAGTATATTTAGCATATAGACAAATAGTATATAAAGATAGCATTTATTCTAATGTAAAGGGGAGATTAGAATATCTTACATTATTAATAGACAGTTTATTAGCCAAATCCATGCCTCTTTTGAGGGTGATATTTTTAGAGTTATCATAATATAAATTTTTGCTTCTAAGCCAAGTCATAATTTTTATAAATAAATTATTAAAAGTGTAATAATGAAAGTTATCATCCTTTGATTAAACTACAATATTGTATTAGAAACTATATTTTTAAAACTAATATTTAAAGAGTTTGCCAAGAAATTGTAAAATAATTTTTTAGTTAAAAAATTTCTTAAAATTATCTATTTTTAGCTTATAAGCAATCTTAAAATTTTGTCTTATAAAATAAATACAAATACTACAAAAATATAATCTTTATTTTTAAATATTATTATATTTAATTTTATTTAAATATTTTAAATAATTAAAAAAGCAGATTGAGACATATTTATAGTAATTATGTAGCCAAATTTGCCTGCAAATCTCTACTAATTAAGAGATATAATTGGCTTTAATTTAATATACTAATTTAGACTTAGCAGGTTCAGGTTTATATATTAAATTTAAAGTATATTTATTTTTAAAAATTTATAAATTTATACCTGTGTATGAAATACAAATATAATTTATAAAAAATTTTAATACAAATTTTAAAGAAAAAAATCAAATTGAATTAAAGCTAAGATAAGTTAGATTAGAAGTTAAGGTTAGGATAGTTTATAGTAAAATTTTATATAGATTTTTTTTTGTTAGAATTTGAAAAGTAGTTTTATAAACAAAATTTTTAAGTTATTAATATACCTATGTTTTATACATGGGTGTATAAATAGAAATTGTCTTTATTTTTTTTTAAAAAAATAAAATATATAAACTTAATTAAATATAATTAAAACTAAGATTAAGAATAAAATTAAACCTAAAATTAGTTAGTATTAGAGTTAGACTAAGATTAAGAATAAAATTAAAATTAAGATTTGTTAGAGCTAAAATTAGGATTAAGGTTTGGGTTAGTATTGTTATTAGATAACAGGAGCAGCATAGAGATATTAGCTATAACAAGTGATTACTAAATGAGCAAAGTGAGCTTAGTTGGTATTATTAAGTATTAGCAAAACAATACAAGCTATATTGTCTTTAATAAAGTTGTTTTTAGAGAATATTTAGCTACACATTGCAAATAAATATAATTAAAAACTATTAAAGTTATTAAATAAAATAAAAATATTTATTTTATTAAATTTTTTATTTAATAATATTAAAGCCTAGTTTTATATACTGAGTTAAAAACTATAAAAAATAAATATTATATTAAGTTATTTATTTAATAATAATAAAAATCAAAGCAATACATTAAATTAGAAACTATTAATTATAATAAAAGTAATATAAAAAATCTTTTACTAAAATGCATTTATAGTGTTTTATACTTATATATATATTATTTTAAAAACTAGCTAATTAATCAGTACAAAATATTCTAAATAAAAATACTCTATGATTCTTAAAAATCTTCCCCAAACTCTAATATTAATTCTAAATTCTAACACTAATATGAAAATTTTGTATTGAAAATTTTTATATACAAACCTTAGAAAAATCCAAAAAACATAATAAAATATATAATAGGTGTAAAACTACTATAAATACATTTTATAATAAATGATATAAAAAAATAAATATTTTTTAAATTTATAATTTAATAATGTTAAAGCCTAATGCTATATACCAAATTAAAGACTATATAAAAATTAAATTATTTATTTAATAATATTAAAAGTTAAAGTATTATATTAATTTAAAAACTATTAATATAATAAAAATAAAATTATATTAAATTTATTATTTAATAAGCACAATGATATGTATCAAGTAAGGGTGTAGCAACTTAGTGAAGTGGTGGAGTTGTCGCACCTCCAGACAGCAGGTCTAGAGTTCAAATTTCATAGATGACGATTTGAAAATACTAGATCTGTATTGGTTAATATTAAGATTATCAGTTAGATTCAGATATTTGTAATCTTGGTCACACTATCTTGAATGAGAGCTTTGGCACAATAAATCCAGAAAACCAGAATTACCAAAAACCCGTTTGGCAAGTCCTGAGTAGAGAGATAGTATGATCTTCAATAGTGCTACAGGAAGACCAAATTTGGAATTAGAGACTAAGACTAGAGAACCAAACAACCAGGTCCTTAAGTAAGGAGACACACTAGCCAAACTACCAGGTTACCAACTGAAGAAAAAAGACATATGCTCTAAAAGCATATACCAAGAGAAGGGAGATCATAAGGTACCTAAAGCCTGAGCAGACCAACCCTTCCGGGTTGCTAGCTGGAAGTCAAAAAGAGACTATTAAAGAATCCAAGGAAGAAGAAAAGTCTGAATATGAATATCAGGGTTATGTGAACCTTGTAAAGGCATGGAGTATGTAATAGGCAACTAATTAGGAAGGTTGTGGCTTGAGTAGCTATAAAATAGTAGCATCCTAAAAGATGACATAAGATATGAACACAGTGTAGTAGCACAGCATATACTAGTTAGGAAGAAATTACTGAACATGCAGGTGAATACATGTATGAGACATGGACTATTTTGTTAGGCTTATCTCATGAATAGATTAGCCGTAATGATTAGTAAGTCCTAAGGTGAGTGCAAAATCCAATTGGGTAGATTCAAAAACCAGCTTGTATAGTAAGTAATACCTAGAGTTAGGTATAATAAATAGTAGTTATAACCAAAGAGTTTAAATGGTACCTCTGTAGTTAGAGTACAGATATGACAGATAGTGTAGAACTTTTGGGCAGACTACTTAAATTAGGCACCAAAAGTGCATATGTGGCTTGATGTACTCTTGTTGTAATTATATAAACATATGTTGCATTTAATAAAAAGTCACCTGGCCAAAGAGATCACCTTAATATCAAAAAAAAAATTAATATATATCAATTTAAAAACTATATAAAAATAAAATTATATTTATTAAAGTTCAGTGCTACACACTGGGGCAAAAACTAGTCCTCTTTATAAACACCATTTTTTGAAAAATTATTAGTAATTTATTTATTAAAAAAAATTTATATAATTATATTACTATTAAAATTTTATAATTACATTATTTTTATATAAAACAAACTATGTGATTATAAAGGAAGACATCTATATATCTACTTTAATTAATTAGAATAATTTATTATATAATTAGCATATTATAATATAGTAGCTTCACTGCATAGAATTAGTTATTTAAATTATGAATTAATAATACAGTCAACTCTGTTTATAACGAACTGATGAGTCTTATAGTAAAAATTTTTAAAAGTTCATTATATAGTAATTTACTATATTTTATATACCAAACTTATATTAAATTTGAAAAAAAAGTTCATTATATAGTGTATTCATTATAAAAATTTTATTATATCCAGAGTCGACTGTATATAATTATATAATTATGTTAAGTATATATGTATTAGTACCAGTATTGCTATATTAGAATATTAGAGTTAGACAGATAACTATATATATAT